ACAGAGAGCCTTGAACGGATAAGTCAGTAACCCCTGCCCGCGGATGAGGAGAGCCGGGAGAAAACGGGAAGCAGTCAAAAGTTTGCCTGAGGGAGGCGTGAGTTAGGGCTCGAGTTTCATTGTCAATCCCACCATGGCCTTATTTTTTAAAACCATATACAGCCGGGCGTGGTGGTGCGTGCCTGTGATCCCAGCACGCGGGAGGCTGAGGCAGGAGGATCGTTGCGAGTTCGAGACCAGCCTGGGCTACAAAGGGAGCTCAAGGCCAGCCTGAACTGCATAGCGAGACCCTGTCTCAAAAAGACAAACAACAACAAAAAAACACGTGCAAACATCACGGTGATTAAAAATAAAAGTTCGTCAGAAAGGAATTAGAGATTCTCAGACTTACTTGGGGCTTTCAGTATAAATGAATAAAACGTGTGCTTTGGAGAACAGGACTTCACCCTAAGTATTAGAGCCTCTCACCGCCCGTCCTCGCCGCAGTCTTTGTAGCCTCACGCAGATGCCTGACTCCCGGAATCCTCACGAGTGAGAGGCTGCAGGCTCCTGCCCTTTGGAGAAATCTTGCAAAAGACAGGAAGACCTCCCCATGAGGGTCACTGCCGGAAGTTTTACCCTTCAGACCCTAAGGAAGACTCCTTAATAGAGTAGAAAGTACCGGGACCTACAGTCCGGAAACGTAATGTTCTAGACGCGGTTGGCACCAACAGAGGAATCTTTGCCAGTTTTCAGAAGAGATCCCTCCTTGGCTTTGCAGAGTTCTGAGAGTCAAAGAAACTATGAGGAAGTATTTTTGTGCTCTTTTGAAATACAAATCCGTGGCCCGGGGATATAGCTCAGTAGCACAAATGTCTGCCTGCCAAGCACGAGGTCCTGAGTTTGATTCCCGGTATCGTTAAAAAGAACAAAACCTGACACTACAAAATATAAATCCAAATGTTACTGATAAAGTGTAGGTACCCTAGGGCGCAGTTATGGGCATCAAAATACACTTCGGTAGTGTTAGGGTTGGAATATAGGGGTTCACACATACTAAGCAAGCACTCTACCACTGAGCCACACCCCAGCCCATGTACATAAAAGTAAATAACAGTAGTGGGTAAACTGCTGAGTGATGAGTACGTAGTGATACAAATAAATGAGAAGACTCAGGCTGGGGGCGCAGGCCTGTGATCCCAGCACTCAGGAGGCTGAGGCAGGAGGATTGCTGTGAATTCCAGGCCAGCATAGGCTACATAAGTGAGTTCAAGGCCAGCCTGCACTACAGAGTGAGACTGTCTCAAAAAACAAACAAAAACCCCAACGAATAAATGAGAAGAAAGCCTCTATAGCACAATGCCAACCAAAAAGTGTAAAAGGAATGATGATGTTAGAAAGTAAAAATGTTAAAAGGCATGCTACACTCAAAAAAGCCTTTCTTTTGAATAAAGGTGGACTATCGCTTCTCAGCCTTTTGGCTAAGATTAAGTGTGAATAAAAGTGAACCAAAAGAATGTTACTGGTCTGCTCTATTGCTAGGTTAAAAAGAAGAAGGCCAGGCATGGCGGAGCACTGGGGAGGCTGAGGCAGGAGGGTTGCCACAAGTTCAAGGCCAGCCTAAACTACACAGTGAGACCCTGTCTCAAAAAACAAAAAAAACCTTGCTCCCCTGTAAAGCCTTTACTGTCCACATTGTCAGTATTCAGGCAGAGGTACTAGTCCAGAGGCAACACTAAGATAATTTAAAATTGTCCCTATAACTGCAGGTAGAACCCCTTGGGAGGAAAAAACTGGGTTTAGTATTTACTAATGATGATTGGTGGATGCTGTAGGTCTCTGGAATCGGGCATCTGACCTCTGTCACTGAGCCGCAAGACTGAAAGTGCTGGCTCTATTCTCCATGACGTATGGAGGCTCATTTTGACTACAAATGGAGTATTCTTTAAAATCCACCTTAAAAAAAGAGGGAAAGAGAAGAAGTCAGGTGTGGTGGTGCAGGCCTGTGATCTCAGCACTGGCCAGGCTGTGGTAGGAGGATCCCCATGACTTCAAGGCCAGCCTCAACTACAATGACACCCTGGCTCAGAATAATAAAAAACCAAACCAAAAGAAAAATCTGGAGAAGTAAAGGTATTCAGAGTCTACAACAGCAGAAACAAAACAAAACCCCATAGGCTTTATGCCTGTAGGACTGTGTTAATGGGTACTTTCTATTTTCAGCAATGCTCTCCCCTTGGAAAAGCTTAAACAAAAATTGCACTGAAAAAGCAGTTCTAGTTTTGAGGGATAAAAGCCCTGCGTTAGAGAGATCGCCATTCTTTGAGTCCGCTTATGAATGCATAGAAGCAGTCGGGTAGCCTCTTCAGTGATGCTAATATCCCATGGCTTAGTGGTGGGTTAATGAATAATCCCCGAGTTGATTCTACAAGAGATTTGGGTGTTCATATAATAATGTAATAGTACTTTGCTTACTTGTCCAGCCTAACCATTATACCCCTCTGCTGCTATTAAAACTCTTCTGCAGAAAAGTTTTGTGATAAAAAAGATCTACCTTCAGAAGTCCTTTGTCCTTGGTCGTAAAGACCAAACGTATTTTTAAAAAATTTTTGAACATTTTGTTGCTAAAGTGAAGCCATGTAAGGAGAGTTTTTGATTAGCAGTAGTGGCTTTTAAAAGATTGTTAGTGCCAGGCATAGTAGCGATCACCTATAATACCAACACTTGGGAGGCTGAGGCAGGAGAATTACTGTGAGTTTGAGGCTAGCCTGGGCTACACCGTGAGTTTAAGACCAGCCTGAATTACAGAGCAAGACCCTGTCTCAAAAGGAAAGAAAGAAAGAAAAAAAGAAAGAAGAAAGGAAGAAAGGAAGAAAGAAAAGAAATTGTTAGTGGTGACTTCCACTTTGATGCTCACCGAAGTAAATATTTACTATGATGAAAGTAATCTAAAGAAAAATATTGATAGCTTTTTGGAGAAGAAGGGAAGATGTTACTATCTTCTCAATATGTACAAAGAGAAATTCACACTGTAGTGTTTCTTTCATTATGTTATCAATACCTTATACTGGCAGGTACAGTGGTACATGACGGTAATCCTAGCCACTCGGGAGGCTGAGGCAGGAGGATCATAATTCAAGGCCAGCCTGGGCAACTCTGAGAGGTGGTCTCAAAACAAAACGTTTTAAAGAGCTGGGAATATAGCAGAGCGGCAGAGCACGCCTGGGTTTGATCCTTGATATGAAAAGTAAACACACAAAAACTGTATATTCTTGGTTTCAGACAGGATGGTTACTTAACTCAAACTGTTTGGAAAAAAAAGCCTTGAAGTCAGCTCAGGGAGTTTATGACACTCTGCAAAGTTCTGAGTTTATAACTATCTGCTTTCTGACTTAATGATAGATCAGTTCAGGAAACTACGGTATGCTTCTTATTTTAGGCATGCCAGAAATAAAATTAAGAGAAAAAAAAAGAGTGCCTAGATTTTGGTGGGCTAAAGTTATCTCGGCTTTTGGTTCTACTGACTTCCTTGTTTCTGGCTTTCTGTGTAATAAAGCAACCTCTAGCCTTTGTCTTCATTCTCACCTATTTTTTTTTTCTTTTTTCATTCTCACTTATGCTAAAATAACTCCCTAGAGTGAGATCTTCATCAGCAATTCTGCAAATCAGAAAACTGCCTTTCAAAGCTAAAAGTATGGACAGGCCACATGCTGCTGTAGTTCTTGTACTTTTCAAGTGTTTGAGAACTGTGTAATAATGAAAAAGCTAGATTTGTATTTTATCATTACCTCAGAATCCGTAAACATTTGAGAATACAAGAACACGTCTGGACAAATACTCTTTTCCCTTTTTCCTTTGTCGTGCTGGGGAGTAAACCCACAGCCTTCCCCTAGCACCAGCTAGCAGAGATTCTTAGCCATGTGTAAGGTGGAAATTAGAATAGGCTTACTTTTGAGCCTACTGTCAACCATCACTATGGTTTCTGTGGGTATGGGATTAATAACCCTTTTCTAAAAAAAAAATTCTACAGGCCTGCCACTCATAGAATGTCCTTTTTGAGTCTCTCAGGGTAAAAGAAAGCTTTTGGGGCCAACAATTACTTTTGATCATTTGAACAATATGCTCGGTTCTCCCCCACTAATTTGCCATCCTCCCAAAGAAGTAGATAGTATAGACTGAGCTGCCGGCCTAATTCTCCTCCCGATCCCCGAGGTCAAAGTAGAGGCCCATGGCTCACTCAGAGTAACATCTCCCACGTCGTGTGAGTGTTTTGTCTGTTCTTCTATTTAGTAAGATTGTGGAGATTGGCCAGACATCCTAGCAAGTCAGGGATACACCGGGACGGTCATGGTGTGCTCTTAAAGCTAGAGCCAAGACCAAAAGGAAGAAGAATCCAGGCCCACTTCCTGTTGGCTAGCCCCTCCTGTTTCCTAGTTGAATAGATCAAAGGGTAAGAGGATAGGCTGGATGTGAGAGGAACACCTACATCAGAGTAGGAATTAGAATGTTATTTCTGGACTGCTCCTAGAGGTGTCCTACGGGTCGGAGCTACAGAGTTTATCAGAAGAGCAAGAGTGGACCTTCAAATGCAAGTCCGCTCTTCCAGATGGGCAGCCTTCTCCTGAGGGGCTTGCATCTGCTTTTCCTCTGTGACGCTAGCAGCGGGCTGTCGCCACATTGTTCTTCCGTTGTCCCTTCCCAAGGAGGGAGGAGGATAGTACATAACACATCTCCCCTGCACGCGCTGTGCATATCCAAACTCTTGACAAATTCTACTTTCCAATTTAGAAAACATGTTAAATGTTAGTAGGGCGGCTGCCTGTGCAAATTGGAATTCCTGGCAACCTCTCAAAAAGTGTCTGGTAAGTATAAAAAAGTAAAGTATTACATCTGGAGGTATATTCAAAGGTATTGGTTTTGGACTCTTATTTAACTAAAATTAACTAATTTCCAGTGGGATGTTATCAGCTATCAACTATTGTATGGCAACTGCGGATTTTAACCTCTTTTTTTAAACATAGGGAAGAGACGCTCCTCTGCGTGGAAAATGACAGTTTTTCATATCAAATCCACTGCTTGGGCATACGCTGCAATAACGTTCGGGACTGGAATGCTAACTTCTGTCTTCAGCTTCTACTATGTGAAGCTGTTTCTGCGCTTATACAAGATTTCGGAAGCAGCCTTCTATCAAGCCCAGGTGAGAGAGCGCCTTTCACATCGTATCACTTCTTCTTCCTCATAGTTGTACGTTATTGCCTCTTTCCAAATAGCTGATTCTTCACATAGCTGAGTTATCAAGGAAAGTTCTTGATAACTGGGGCTGTATGTTAGTGGTAGGATACTTGCCTAGCACGCAGGGGCCCTGGGTTTGACCCTCAGAACACACAAAACGATTCACAAACCCATGTCCAAGGTTCTCCAAAGACAAAGAAAGCTACTTAAGTATATAAGCCTTAGAATTCAAAGGGCGAGCCTTGATCATTTGGAAAATTAGTTCATGTGGAGTCATCAGTATCGTTATTATTAAGATATTTGTCTTAGAAAGGCCTGTGGCATTGACAGATTGCGTTGTAACTCATTACTAATTACACGATCAGGATGAGTAGTGTTTGTGGGTTTAAAACACTTGTATTTTGAAATGTTACACAATTTTTTTTTTGAGGCAGGGTCTCACCATGCGGTTCAGGCTGGCCTTGAGCTCACCTTGTAGCCCAGGCTGGTCTCGAACTCACAACAGTCCTCCTGCCTCAGCCTCCCGAGTGCTGGGATTACAGGCCTGCGCCACCACGTCCAGCATGTTACACATTTTTTTACCGACAACACCATACAGCATACATTTTGAGTTGGGAAATATTGTTACTTTAATATTTCCTAATAAAGTTATTTAAAATGGTGCCTCGATGTAAACAAGCCGTCACTGTACGGAAGCGTGGCGCTGTGCACTGTCTCGGAGGGAGAACACGAACTCTGGGGTTTCCCGCTCGGCGCGGACGCTGGCTCGGTGGCTCTGTTACTGCGGAGGCGAGCTGCGTAACTTCTCTGACCCTCCGCCTCTTCATTTGTAAGCTGGGAGAAATAACAGCAACCGTTATCTAGGTTTTTTCTAAGGAGCTGATTAAATAATGCACGTCCACCTAGACCAAAATGAATGCACATTAGCTTTTGAGTAACATTACCTGGATTCTTTTTTTTTTTTTTTTGTAATTCTTAGTAATATTTCAGCTGGTTCTGAAAACAGTGAGTTTTTTACCGGTCAGCTTTAGATATTTCATATAAGTGAAAAAGAAGCAGGGATCAGCTTCATCTCATGAACGTAGTGGTTTTCAAGACAACTGCTGTGGCATTGAAGTAATCCTGTGTGTGTCTTCTCCCTAGATAATTTTAATGATTTGGAATGTCCTAAGTGACCTGACTGGGTACTTTTGCGTCAACTTCAAGGCTGACTGCCGTGTGGGTCGTTTTCTTTCCATCAAGTATGGGTGCCTTCTATATGTAGCAGCCTTCCTGCTCCCTTGGTTCCCTTGGAGACACTATCGAGAAGGAGACTGGCTTAGCAGGCTTCACCTGGTGGCGTCACTGTGCGCTTTTGACAGCACGCTCACCTATGTGCAACGAGCCCACTGCAGACTATTTGTGGAGACTTTCACGGGACAGGAACGCAGGCTTCACCTGATTAAAACGAACCAAGTGGCATCAGCAGTAGGATCGACCAGTGTCCTTTTCTGCGGCCTCGTCTCTAACAACCTGGAAATTCTGTGCAATTTTCAGGCCGCTGCTATTTTCGTTGCCCTTCTTGCAGCTGCCAGCCTTTACACTGGCATGGACCACGTGAAACATTTGGAGCTTAAAAGAAGTCCCCAGGAGAACTTCCTCTTGGAAAGCGAGCAGGATGATGCCTGGGCCTCTGTCTTCTTACTGACGAGACAAATCTTTTTCCAGAAAAACTTTTACCTTTTCTTAATAATGAATTTCTTCCAAGTTTTCCATTTAACCTTCTTGAGCAACTTCATGATGATCTTTGCAGATATGCTCATTCCCAGGGATGTTCTTTCTTCTTCCACGAGAAGCGTCATGTATGGGGCATGCTTTACTTGCTCACAGGTATGTGGTAATTCATGTAGCATCCTATACAGATTAAAAACTTAACTCTCAGCTAATGAGGACATTAGAGACCTGGTTATCTCAGTAGTTTGAGCCAATGACACGCACTTATTAAGAGACCCAAAGATTCAGAGCCCCAATATTAATACAATTCACCGGAAACACAATAGGAAAACAAGACGAGAGGAAGAAAGGAAAGAGCCCAGTGAAAGCCAAGCAGTGCAATATTTTAAACTTTTTAGTTTTTAAAATTTCATCCCCCAAGCTTTCTCATTCAGACTTCAGCAGAACTACGCAAGAAAACAGACGGGTCCCTATCAGCATAGAGCTCTGTTTCACTCAGGTATGTAAGATTCCTGGGATGGGAGAAGAGCCACTTAATCAAGAATTCGTGGAGTAACATTTCAGAGCCCTTGGCGGAAAGCTTGAGTCTCAGAACTCCAGACTGTTATTAAAATTCCATGGTCATGACTACTGACTGGTGTTACTGCAGAGGGCACGTCCTCCTTCAGAAACATTCTGCAGTGCTGTTTATTCTACGTTCTGCCTGCCCGCTAATCATGTGACTCCACCTAGCCTATGATACGGGTTTCTCCTAGTTTCACAATTATACAATAAGCGAAACCTATTGCTTAGACACTTCAGGGAATAAGATAAGTTATTCCAGATAGATAGGTAGTTTTGACTGTTTGCCAAAAATATTTAAGCCATTTGGGGAAGAAGTGGTTCTAAAATATTTTATGTGTGAATATAACTTCTTAAGCAAAATATATCAGAAAGACAATGTTATGACTCATGTCTAGATGTCCCCCCCGCCGAAGCCTCATGCAGTTGTAGGTGGGACTTTTTCAGAGGGGGCTGGATTGGGCCAGAGATATAGCTCAGTGGCACAGTGCCTGGCTGGCAAGTGTAAGGTCCTGAGTTCGATTCCCAGTACCAGAGGTGGTTGGATGTAGAGTGTGGACACTGGAATTGATTCATGGTGCAGTGTGAGGATCAAGGGCTCTAGGATTAAGGGTGTGAGTGCTGCCCATCCTAAGCAGCCTGGATAAGATATAAGGGGTAGAAAGAGCTGTAGTCCTGCCCTGGTCACTTTTGCTACCTTTTACTTGCTGTGAACTGTCTCTCCTCTGTGACGCTCCTCTGCCAGGCCACCCTGCCTTGGAGCCAGTTGATTATGGGCTGAAACCTCTACAAACTGTGAGCTAAACAAACCTTTCCTCTTTTAACTTTAGGTGTCGGGTATGTTGTCTTAGCAATTAGTAAAGTAACTGACACAAAATTTGGTGCCAGAGAAGTGGGGTCGTTGCTGTGACTATAGCTGAGCATGTGGTTTAGGAGCCTGTGGAACTGGTTGTGGGAAGGGGAAGTTAGTCTCACTTTGGAGATGCAGCTGACAAATTAGAGCTGGAAGGCCTGAGGCTGTACTTGGTGGGAGATTCTGGTCAGAGCTAGAAGACCAGAATACTGATAGAAATTCTACCAGTAGAGACCAGGCTCAGGAGGTTTCTGCTGCAAAGAATTACACTGGCTGTTGGACTCCAGACAGTGTGTGTTATGCCTTGGTGCAAAGTTCGTCTGCATTTTGCTCATGTCCAGAGATTTTACCTGAGACTAAGGGCAGTGGACTAATTAATCTGGTAGAAGAAATTTCAAGGCAGTTTAATATTACGGCAGTGGCATGGCTACTGTTCGGGGCTTTTAGCCAGCTTTATGTTGAGAATCAAGAGCAAAGAGCCCAGAAGAATGATTTAAAATGTTTTCAGTTTGGCCAGAAAGGACACTCCAGTAAAGTTGCAGCCTGCAAAGATAGAATAGAGGAGAAATTGGTTGCTGAAAAGACTTGCAAGAAGAAGCCAGGTATTTCAGAAGAAGACAACAGAAAAGAAGGCCTGAGGATATCACAAGAACCAGCAGGACTGCAGCCTTTGCAGCCTCGTTGTTGCAAAGGTGAAAGACTTTGTTTGGAAAAGAGAGCCCCATAGTTGTGTGTTGCAGCATGCCTGGGGAATGGTGGAAGCCTAGAGGAGCTGTTCCTCAGGATTTGGTTCATAGGCACCTGACCCCTATAGCCAAGAGAGAAGGAATCCTGGCTACTGCTCCAGCTGGAGGCAGACCTTGGAATCATCCACATGGTACTGGTTTTAAGTACATGCAGAATGTAAGAGTTATGAGGTCAGGAAGACTTCCACCAAGATTTCAGAAGGAGGCCTTGGAGACCAGGCAGTGTGCCCCTGAGAGGGCAGTGTGTGAAGCTGAAGGTGCAGTGGAGACCCCAGAAGTTTGGAAAAGCCAGGAATGTGGATCATCTGAGGAAAACTGCAAGGAGGGAGCAGAGCCAGCCCCGGAGAGAAGCCATGGGAGCTACAATCACCAGAAGTACCGCAGGGGCAGAGCCACCCAAGCCCATTGGAGCTCATGACTTGCCACAGATTGCTGGGGATGCTGGAAGTGGAACAGTAGGATTTAACGTTTGCCCTGCTGGGTTTTGGTCTTGCTTTGTTCCCACTTCTTGTTATCCCCATTTATAACTTTTGGAATGGAAATATCAACCTTGTGCCACTGAATGTGAGAAATGTTTAACTTTCTTTTCATTTGTACAGGGGCTCAAAGCTAAGAGTTTGCCTTAAGTCTCAGAGAAGACTTGAGACTTGGACTTTTCAGCAATGCTGAAACTGTTAGGACTTTGACAACTCTTGGAGATGGACTAAATGCCTTTTGCATAAAGGGATGCACATGAGTCTTTGGGGGTCCAGGAGCAGAATGTTATGGTTGTGTCTACATGTGCCACCATAGCCTCATGCAGTCATAGGTGGGGCTTTTTCAGAGGTGGCTGGATCTAGAGTGTGGACACTGGAATTGATTCATGGTGCAACACTAGGATCAAGGACTCCAGGGTTAAGGGTGCGAGTGCTCTCCATCTTAAGTAGCCTGGATAAGATAGAAAGGATGGAAAGAGCTGTGGTCATCCCCTGGTTGTTTTGCTACTTTTTGCCTTCCGTGAACTATTTCTCCCCTGCCACGCCACCCTGCCTTAGACACAGCTGATTATGGGCTACAATCTCTGCAAACTGTGAGCTAAATAAACCTTTCCTCCTTTAATTTTGGGTGTTGGATATTTGGTGTCAGCAACGAGAAAAGTAACTAACATAGAGTTTGCCTTTCTGCTGTAGGTCTTTAGGGGTTCCTGTTTATACCATTTTAATGATAACTAAAGTCATTGAGTGCTCAGTATTTGCCGTGGACTGTGCCAAACATATTGTAAATATTACCTTACATGATCCTCATAACAAACCCCAAGGGAGAGATCCAAAAAACGAGGCACAGAGGCATGTGTCTTCAGAGCCGTGTAACTTAAGACTCTTGTCCCTCACCAAGCGTGGTGGCACATACCTATAGCTCCAGCTATTTGGAGGGCAGATGTGTGAGGATCACTTAAGCTTACAAGTTTGAGACCAGCCTGGGCAACATAGTTAGACTCCCATCTCAAAAAAGAAAAAATCTGTCTCTTACACCTACTATGTGTACACCATTTATCAGAGTATACAAATGGAGGTTTTGGTTGATTGATAGAGTCTCAGGTGTTGTATGCTCTCCCTTCAGAGCAACTGGAGGTTTATCAAGTTCTTTGCTTCTATGTTAGTCCGTTTCATGTTACTGTAACAAAATACCTGGAATGAGGAACTTACAGGAGAACAAGTATACTTAGCTCACAGTTCTGGAGGTTGCAGCTCAAGAGCACGCAGACCTATTCCTTTGGGCCTCTGCTGGGGATACCCCATAACAATGGCGGGGGACATATAATGGAAGAAACTACTCACTTCACAGCCAGAAAGCAAAAAAGAAAGAGCAAGAGGCTGGAGTCCCACTGTCAGTGACCAAGGAGCAGCTTAGATGACCTAAGGGTCCCATCATCTCAGTAATGGCACCCTGGGGACCAAGACTTTAGCACGTGGACTGTTGGGGGCACTGAAGATCCAAACTATACCGGCTTTTACTTTAAACAATTGAGAATAGGAACTGGTTGTGGGAAGGGGAAGTTAGTCTCAGTTTGGAGATGCAGCTGACAAAGTAGAGCTGGAAGGCCTGAGGCTGTACTTGGTGGGAGATTCTGGTCAGAGCTAGAAGACCAGAATACTGATAGAAATTCTACCAGTAGAGACCAGGCTCAGGAGGTTTCTGCTGCAAAGAATTACACTGGCTGTTGGACTCCAGAGAGTATGTGTTATGCCTTGGTGCAAAGTTCCTCTGCATTTTGCTCATGTCCAGAGATTTTACCTGAGACTAAGGGCAGTGGACTAATTAATCTGGTAGAAGAAATTTCAAGGCAGTTTAATATTACGGCAGTGGCATGGCTACTGTTCGGGGCTTTTAGCCAGATTCATGTTGAGAATCAAGAGCAAAGAGCCCAGAAGAATGATTTAAAATGTTTTCAGTTTGGCCAGAAAGGACAAAAAAGACAGGGTCTTGCTGTGTAGCTCAGGCTGGCCTCAAACTCCTGGTAGTTCTGCTACCTTAGCCTCACAAGTACTGGGATTACAGGCATGTTCCACTATACCTGGCTACAATTCACTATTTATTTATTTATTTATTTATTTATTTTTCTGGTACTGGGAATCGAACTCACAACGTTGTGCTTGCCAGGCAGGCGCTGTGCCACTGAGCTAAATCCCCGGCCCCCAACAATTCACTATTTAAAGTGTACAATTCAATGTATTTTAATATATTCAGGGAGTTGCACAACCCCCATATGGTCAAGTTTAGCCTGTTTTCATCACCCTTAAAAGAATAAGTCAATTCCTAGGTCCCTCTCTCCTTGGCCCCTGATAACTACTAGACTAGTTTTTGTCTTTGTTTATTTGCCTTTGTTGTACTTTTATATAAATAGAATCAAATAGGTAAACATGGTCTTCTGTGACTTTTTTTCACTTACAGTATTTTTAAGAATCACCCATATTATAGCGTGCATGATGCTTTGTTCTATCAGGGTTAGTCTGTTTTCCATTTCTAATCACACAACACCAGAGACTGGTTAAGCTCTCAAGAAAAGAGGTTTATTTTGGCTCTTGGCTATGGAGGTCCAAGGTTGAGGAGTTGCATCTGGTGACGACCTTTTTGCTGCCAGAATCTCAAGACAGTGCAGAGTATCACAAGGCCGGAGGCAGAAGCCTGGGTGTGGTTCATTCGTTCTCTGTCTCTCTCTGTCTCTGCCTCTCTCTCTCTCTCTCTCTTTCTCTTTCAGTATGTCTCTGTCTCTGCCTGTCTCTGCCTCTGTGTCTCTTCTCTGTCTTTCTCTGGTACTAAGGATACGGATAATACCCAGGGCATTCACACTGAGCTACATCCCCTGGCCTTTTTAATTTTGAGAAAGGGTCTTGTCACTAAATTGCCCTGGCTGGGCTTAAATTTATTCTTAATTTCTAGAAAAGGAATACTTGCATGAATTTTTGTGGCAAAAAGTAGCAATCCAGGCCAGGCATGGTGGCGCATGCCTGTAATCCCAGCACTCAGGAGGCTGAGGCAGGAGGATCGTTGCAAGCTCGAGGCCAGCCTGGTCTACAAAGTGAGCTTGAGGCCAGCCTGAACTGCATAGCAAGACCCTGTCTCAAAAAGACAAAAAAAAAAAAGAAAAAAAAGAGTGGCAATCCCTTAGAACCCATTAATAGTATTTATTTGGTAAATTCACTTTAGCACTTTATCTGCTGGGTGTAGTGATGTGGGGTAAGCCCTGTATTCTCATTTTCTGAGTCTGGTTTCTTAGTGGCCTTCATTTTGAGGAGCTGGGTAAATGGAAGGAGAAAAGAATGAATGAGTGTTTTACTTTTTTTCTCTGATAGCTGTTTTACTGTGTCTGTCATTCTACATCTCACGCTCCTCAGAGAGGCAGAGTAGTGACTGAGTTAAGAACGTGGCTGTAGTCTCCCCAGAGAGCATCTGGCCCCAGCATATTAGCCGTGTGACCCTGGTTCATATATTCCATCTTTCTGTATCTCGGTTTCCTCATCTATAAAGTGGGAATACCAATGTGGTCTACCTAATGGAATCACTACGAGGATTAAATGAGTTAAAACTGCACAGCTCTTAAAGTGGCACAAAGTTAACCCTCTAGAGATATTAGCTCTGATTCTGTACAACCAACTCAGAGCTGCGGGTGTTTATCAGGCTTTCGCTGCAAGCAGAGCGCTGCCTTTCCTCTGCCGTGGCTTGGGCGTCTCTGGCGTGGGTTTGCCAACGCTTATGCTGGGGCATGCTGTTCTCAGGGGCCTCCCCGATCACATTCGAGCAAGGTGCCAACACCCTCAGGTTGCAGAGGATTTCATCTTAGTAAAAGTGGAGGCAGTCTTTTAATTTTCTTTCGTGATTTTTGTGACAATATTCATTCCTGGCTCATGTCTTTCTGGATGCTGGAATACGGAACTAGACGAAGGGGACGAGCTAGGGGTAGAACCCAGTGTGACAGTGCAATCAAACAAGCTGGAGGAGGGGCGGCACTGGTAGAGGACATGCTCTTGGGTGAAGCAACTTGTCTGCAACATCGCCGGTTAAAAGCGGCAAAGCTGGAATTCAAACCCAGGGCATCTGATTTTTAAAATCTTGCATTTTTCCTGCTGCCACACACTTCTTGCCCGCAGCTGGGCCAACTGCTTGGATTCTGTGTATTTACGTATTAGACGTTGAGAAGAAGCAGCTTCCTTTCAACATGTGGAAATGTGCTGCCTTACAATGTTATAACTGTAGCAAGAACATTAGTGGACTTGTTGAGGTGCTCCGCATACTTGACGTTACAAAACGCTTGAGAAATGCCTTGAATTATATCAGTCACTCAGACATTGTTTTTGGTATCCAGAAAATGAGCTCTTGTTCCTTGACAATAGAAAAGTAACCCAAAAAATGTCAAGGGTAAAGAAATCCTTGTTTCTTAGAGCTGGGTGTGGAGGCGCACACCTGTAATCCCAGCACTCGGGAGGCTGAGGCAGGGGCATCATTGCGAGGTCGAGGCCAGCCTGGGCTACAAAGACCAGCCTGAACTGCATGGTGAGACCCTGTCTCAAAAACACTAAAAAGCTGCGCATTGTGGTGCACACGTGTAATCCCAGCACTTGGGAGGCTGAGGCAGGATGATTGTTTCAAGTTTGAGACCAGCCTGGGCTACAAAGTGAGCTCAAGTCCAGCCTGAACTGCACAGCAAGACTCTGTCTCAAAAAAAAGGAAAGAAAAGAAAACCTTGTGTCTTAAAGGACAGATATATTGGACTTTTATTATTAAAAATCCTCTTCTAATTGTAATATACATACATTTTGTCACTGAAGACTTTTCAGGCTAAACAGTGTGCTTTTTAAAAATTGAAAACAAGGAGTATTTTCTGACCTTTGTTAATGTGCATATGTATGTTTAGCACAAGCCTTTCAGTCTAGAACAATGAACCTTTTTTAGTAAGAAATAAGGAAAAAACCTAAATCTGAATTATTAGAATTATGAAAATATATAAGGTTAGGCAGGAAATACAACCAGAAGAAATGTACATAGAATTGTAAACTCTTTACCTCTGATTTTAGGTAAAAAGTACGTTTCAGATTTACATCACAGTGAAAAGATTGAGATTTTTATTCATTCAATAAATGTGTTTCATCTACTGTGTGCTAGGTGAATTGTGGGCTTTAACTTTAAAATTTGAATGTTTTTTAGTTGAAACTTTCACTTCACCATAAAGCAGTGGCTGTTTGTTTGTAAGTGATTGATTTTTTTCTTAGGTTCAGTTTTAGTAAAATCTCTATATTAGTGTGAAATAAAAAAATAAGGAAACCATTTCTGAGTTTATATGCTTTATTGGAAAGAATAGCAGTTTCTTTGTTACCTAAGGAATATTAATATTCATAGTCAATTTTTGGATATATATGGATAATAGCATCTTTAGTAAATCGAACTCAGGACCTTGCACTTGCCAGGCAGTCGCTTGTGCTGCTAGGCTATATCCCGGCTTTTTTTTTCTTTTCTTTTCTTCTTTTTGTACTGGGAATCAAACTCGCGACCTCATGCTTGCCAGGCAGGCGCTGTGCCACTGAGCTATCTCCCTGGCCCTCTGAACTATAGTTCAGAAGCAATTTTATTTTGTAATGAGAACATTTATTTGCCATCCGGAGGAAGAAGTAGAATAATGTGTGGGATCCTTTCTTAATAGAGTGTCACTCTGTTTTCATTTCAGTGCCTGGTACTTATCATTTGGCCCTGGCTGAAGAAATTTGGCTACTATAAGATTATCTTAATTTCTTTCTATTTAGAAGGAGCGGCTTCAGCGGTCATGCTATTTCTGGGACAGGAATACTATTACTGCTTGGCCCTTTATCTCACTGGTATCATGTAAGTAAACGATGGTTCCCATCTCGGGATCACACTGGGGCTTCCCACCGCCCTCCCAAGTAGTGGGACATCCTTGGTACGAACTGAGTTTAATGTTCATTTCTAGGCAGGGTCGTGGTACCTTTCTGCCAAATTGTTCAAATGTCAGCAGCTTGCTTTTTGAAGGAATTTCACGTATTTAATCTTGTAGTAAAGTCACATTCCTTTTTTTTAACCTTTTTTTTTGGCAGACACTGCCTTTATTTAGGGAACACGTCTTTCCTACCAGCTCTGCTCGTGACAGGAGCCAGCAGCGAGCAAGCACGATCCTTGCTGGTGTTCGTCTGCGGCAAGCAGGGGCTGGGCACCAGTGTCTCGGCTCTTTTTTTTTTTACCCTTTTAAAGTACAACATTTAGTAAATGTTGTGGTAGAAAAAAAGCTGTGAGCTTTTATTCCTCCTCCAACTCTTCCTCCTATTTCTTCTGCCACATACATTAGTATTGGGAATTGAATCCAGGGCCTTTGCACTAAGGAACAGTCCGTTTCTTTTCTTTCTTTTCTTTTCTTTTCTTTTCTTTTCTTTTCTTTTCTTTTCTTTTCTTTTCTTTTCTTTTCTTTTCTTTTCTTTCTTTCAATAAGGTCTTGCTGTATAGTTCAGGCTAGCCCTGAACTTACTACATAGCCCAGGCTGGCCTCAAACTCACAGCAGTCCTCCTGCCTCAGTCTCCTGAGTGCTGGGATTACAATAGGCATGTGCTACCATGTCTGACCCTTTTATATTTTTATTTTGAGACAGGGTCTCACTTGCCTCAAACTTGTGATCTACCTGCCTCAGCCTCCCAGAATGTTGGGATTACAGGTGTGTGCCCACCATACCTGGCTGACATATTTTATTAACATGTACTAATTTTACATATTAATGGGGTTCAGTGTGATATTTCAATATATTTTTAGGATGTTCACAGATCAAATCTAGCCTTATTTTATGCACATCATCCTTGCCAACTTTTAGTAATTACTAGCCTACATGCCAATCAACATTTTTTTTCTTTGAGATGACATCTTACTATGTTGCTCAGGCTGGTCTCAAACTCATAACCCCCCTGCCTCAGCTTCCCAAGTAGCCGAGATTATAGAAATGTACCACTGTGCCTGGTTCTTTTTTTACTTTAACTTCCACGTGTGAGAGAACACGTAGTACTTGCTCTCCTGTGTCTGGCTTATTTCACTTAACACAGTGTCTTCCAGTTCTACCCATTTTGCTGCATATGACAGGATTTTATTCTTCTTGATGGCTGAGTAATACTTCATTGTGTATAAACACCGCACTCCTTCCTTCCTTTTTTCCTTTTTCTCTTTCTTCTTTCTCCTCTGCTTTCTTCTTCTTCTCCCTCTCCTCCTTCTCCTTCTTCTTGTCTGTCACTTTCTCGGTCTGTCTGTCTCCCTCTGTCTCCATCTCTCCTTATTTCTTGTCTTGGGACTGGGGATTGAACACAGAGCTTTGCACTAAGTTACAACCCCAGGCCCCTCCTTTCTTAAACATTTGAGACAGGATTTTGCTACGATGCCCGGTCTGGCCTTGGGCTTGTCATCTTCCCCCTTCAGGCTCCTGAGCCACTGTGCCCAGGTGATTTTTTTTATGCGTTTATCCATCAGTGGGCACCTGGTGGTCTTGTGTCTTAACTACGGTGAGTAGTGCTTCAGTGAGCAGGAGAAGTTCTGTGTTCAGCGCGACGATTTCATCCCTTCGGGTACGTGCCCGGAGGCAGGGTAGCTGGATCATGTGATAGACATATTTGTATTTTTTTGAGGAGCCTCCTAACTGCTCTTCACAATGCCGTTCTAATTTTCATTCCTACCAACTGTGTATGAAAGTTCTTTTTTTCTCCACATTCTTATTGCATTTTTTATTTAAAAAATTTTTAATAATCATTTAACTGGGGTGAGATATGCCCTTGTAATTTGATTTGCGTTTCTCTGATGGCCAGTGACACTGAGAGTTTCTCACACATCGTCTGTGTTTCTTCTTTTGAAAAGTGTTTGTTCAGATCTTTTGCCCATGCACAGCAAGGGAAACCACAACTGAGCGAGCAGACAGCCTGCAGAATGGAAAAATTTACCAGCTACTCCTCAGAAGAAGGACTAATATCTAGTATATACGCATAAAGAACTAAAAACGTGGGCTCCTCAAATTTAAAGACCCAGTTAAAAATGAGCATCTGAAATGAATAGGCCCTTCTCAGCTGCCTGAGTCCACTGTGAATAGGGCCTAGTATCCAATCGTGACGGCCCACTGACCTACAGATCTAGTATCCAGTCATGACGGCCCACTGACCTACAGATCTAGTATCCAGTCATGACGGCCCACTGACCTACAG